ATGTCCAGTTCATTGTGTTTACCTTTTCATATCCAAGACTACTGCTCATATTAAAGAACAAAACAAGATGGGAGTCAAAGATGGATGATCATGGGGGGAAAAAACAAATATTGTACAGATAATCTGTCAAAGTGAATTCTGTATTGAAGGCACTGTAACATACAAAAACATATGCATAAATTAAAATATATGAAGTTAATGTTTAAAACAAATTTTAAAGCCAAAAACCAAAATTTGTAAAATGTACAACATTAAAATAAGCTTAGTCATTTTGCAAATAAAGGAAGCAATGTTTTCTTTTGTTTCATCCAAAAAGCAGTGAAGTGAAAAGCTCTGCTCTGATTCTGAATGATCACATTTTATACTCTGTGAAGCGTGATAATTTCCTCTCATGAGACAAAATGATCCAGTTTAATTACAAATATAACGTTAACCTCCGTAATGGGGTCAAGGTCTGTCAACCTTCCTTCTCCACATTAAAAAACACCAAACAACGCCATGTGTGCTTAAGCTCCCTACAGGCTGTGAATAATGGCCAATTATTTAATGTGCCCTCAACGTCCTCGGCCATTATTAACTAAAGTTTGAACGCCGTTGAGAGGTAACGGCTGAGGCTAACACCTTTGAGAGCTGTCAAGCTCTGCTCTAAGGCAAAGACAAAAGGCCAAGAAGAAGAAAAAAATATGGGCCAACGGTATCAGAAAAGCAATGATTACAGTGCCAGCAGTAGATGAAACCTCCATTATACATCAATGGGAGATGCGATTTACATGGTGGGATGGTGGCCGTGAGAATGATGGGATGTCACCTCTGGGGAGTGTGTCTGCCCCATGCTACAGTGTATGTGGCCCAGATGGAGGTCAGGCCAGAAGGGTGGAAGATTTGTCAAGTTGAGCAGGGGACAGGAGGGTAACGAAAGCCCACTGCAGCATAAGTTCAAAGCAGGTGATGGGCTGTGTTGTAAATGGCTCCAGGACATATTCCACACGTGCAACAACTTTTCCTTACATTAAAACAAGCAAAACTAGCAGCGTGTTTTTAAAGTGCAACAAAATTAGCATCAACAGCACAAGGTGAAACTTTTAGAATTTATTTTAAGTAAATGTATATTTAAAAATAGCGCTGTACATGGATATTGGTAGAAATTAGCTTTTTTTTATTATCTGCATCATTATCTGCTATTTTGACATTTAGATTTCCTTAGCTTTTACCTAATGCTCACTTAAAAACACAAATAATTTAATAACACTGTTAAATGTTTATTTTAAGCAAATCCCAAGATGAATATTCGTTTTCATACAGTAATTCAAAGTTAGCATTTAAAGTGATTCTTTTTATTGTTTAAATATAGTATAGACAAAATAATATAGAAGAATTTATATGTAATTGTCAATAAACATAGTTCTTAGTGACTCTTACGCTTATCAAATTGTATTAGAATTTAATAAAACTGTTTAATAAAACTAATATATTTTACAATGTAATTTATTTTTGTGATGCAAAGCTGAATTTTCAGCATCATTACTCCAGTCTTTCCTTCAGAAATTATTCTAATAGCCTATACTGATTTGGTGCTCTAAATTTTGTTTTATCATCACTGCAGAAAAAGGTTGTGCTGCTTAAATATTCCACAATCATCTGAATGATTGAACAAATAAAAATAAAAATAAAAGTGTTTTGACACTTAAATATTGTCCTGATTTAATGGGTCATCTGAGTCCGGACACACCATACACATTAAAAATTAATGACTACTAACTGCAACTTTGTGGATCAATAAACTTATGTTCATGGTGCAGATAGCCTATTAACAACAACACCAATAAGCCCTTGTATGATGTTGATCAATATTTCATTAATTGATTTACTCAATTATTGGACATCTCTAATAGAAAAACACAATGAAGTTCTAATGACATTTTAAGGTACTTTTCCGTGGCTTCCTTTTTGTGTCTAAGTACCTGTCTGGATCTGGTAAGAACCAGACAGGCTCAAGGACTTCCAATCAATAAGGATTTTTTTCCCAGTTTGAAGAATTCCATCCATATGGTGTCATACAAGAGCCCGGTGGACATTTATACATGTACAGGGTTGACAAAACATGAAAAACAGAGAAAAGGACTGTGCATTCGTCTATGATCTTTCAGCTTAAATAACCACACAAATAAGTGCTAGCATGTTGTTCTAATATTGACTGGGTGTCGCCAAATCAGTTATAAGTTAATCTTTCAGAGAGCATGTCTCGTCAATTTTTTTTTTTCTTATTACACTTAGGATCACATCACTAAGAATATAAATGGATTAATGAAGGAAAACCAAAATGATTTATTATTATTTTGCAAAGCTTAATTACGTGTGGCATGGAATTAGTGAATACTTTGATATTTTTTACCAGGGAAGTAAGAGCAAATTATTTGACAGTCTGAAAGACCTTGCAGGGTCAAAATGCATCATTATGGCCCATCTACCTTTCAGTCAGGTAAATAGGACCGCACTTTTCTATTTAGGACAAAAAGGATAGTAGTTCTTTACACAAGTAGCAGCATAGACCACACAACAATGGGACACTAAAGGTGTGTCCCACTTAGATGTGGTTATCTTAGAATAAAAATTAAAATAAAAAAAAATTACAATATGTAGACTACTTTTCAAAGGTAAGACTTCTTTCTTTTGCGTTTAAGAGGAATAAATATATATATATATATATATATATATATATATATATATATATTCCATAATAATAAATAAATATATATACCATAATTTCCCTTACCTTGGTCAAAGGACTCCAGCTCATTGACAAAGACAGATGTACTGGATAACCGCTGAAAGAGAAAGGCTCCAGGTCACAGAAAGAAAATTCAACCACTGAGCATCAACTGCACAACACCAATATTTGGCTAACCTTTGTAGCTTCCTGTGCCATTTTTGGCTTCTTTGGCTGTCTGTTCTTCCTTAGATATGATCTCTGAACTTTGATACCTGTTCATAGAAACAACTCTAAATATCAAGAAATCAATTAGTACATAGAATTGAAAGACATATAAGCAGATTCTCCTACCAGTTTGGGTCTCGAAGTTGTCATTCTGCACCTCTACAGATGTAGGAGGCAAAGGTTTGACTGTTACACAAGTGCCAGCTTTATTAGTTCTTTTCTCCCTCTTTAACCTCTCTGCAGATGAGACCTCAGATGCCCCATGACGCCCCAAGGGTCTCTGTGTTGGGTGTCTGACTGAATCTCTTCGTTTGGCTTCGTGTAGTGGCACTGCAATGGCATTTGTTCTGACATGGGTGAATTGGTTGTGGAGGACTACACTTTGTACACCGCTACCATTTTCCTGTCCAAAACCGTCATCTTCCCTTAATTTCTGCAGGCTACCTCTATGTGTGTGATTTGTCTCCATTCTATTCAGGATATGGCCTCTCGTTTTCTGGATTAGCTCTGGTTTGAGTGAGGTTGGAGGCATTGAACTAGTTTTGTTTGGATTTTGAGCTTGCCACTTCACTGCCACTCTCTCCCTGATCCTTGCGTCTGAACTTTGACCTGCTGAATTAAAGCACATGCAACTTCAGAATGAGCATTGAGAAAATCATAATGCCTGAACACAATAATGCTTAAAATAGTGGAAAAAGCTTTTTTGCAGAGCTCCGATTAAAATAAACCTTCAAATGATTGTGGACAGAGAAGGGCTGATTTAGGCTAATTAAATTAAATGTATTAGTTTAATAAAGGGCTAGCTGGGGCAGGGTCCAAATGTTTCACAGTCCTGCGTGGCTGCAGACAGCTTATTAGGACGTCTTGATCTACACACATTCTCACTCCTTAGCCTTTAGCATCCTTATTCAGATTGATACTAATGGGTCGGTCACAGCCCGCCATGCAATTACAATAACGAACTGGCTGCCTCCGCACAGGCCAGATGAAGAGGGATGAGCTTTAATAAAATTTCTTCTATGGCCCCCACATTAACGGTGTTGCTGCTTAAGCCCCTCTAACGAGACAAATCTTGTCAGGCTGATGGGGGTTAATTTGCCCCCACGTCCCCCAACTCCAATTCCTAACTGCACAAAGTCTCAGAAAAACAATTAAATTTAATATGTTCCTTGGAACGTAATGTGAGGGTTAACATATTCTAGAGTTCAATGTAAGTTAATCAGAGTAAGAGGAATATTCCAGCCAGTAACAACACCTTTCAAAAACATCATCCATAAATGCATTACTCTTCGGTTGCGAATGTATGTGGAACAAATACTTTAACCACATACAGCCCTACTTACGAATTCAAATGAGAAAACTTTTTCTAGCTCTAACAGACAGCCAGAATTATGATACTAATTTTATTAGAAATGTATGCTTGTCCAATTGGTCACTGTAAAATTTTCAACAATTTTTCTATTACATTTTAAAATTAATAAACAAGAAATTTGTTTTGTGAGTGGAAAATGTTAACAAATATACAATATAAAAAGTTTACTAATAATAGCAAACATATTAACAATAATAATAACTTATTCATTGCTGTTTGAGGTTGTGGAAACAGAAGGAGAGAAACATTAAGCAAAATAAACTAGTATTACTGCGAATAAATCAATATGATTACTATTAATATTAACAATAACATTTTTAATAACCACTATTAACATATTTTACTGTAGAAATTGCTCCATTCATTGTTAATTGTGTGCGTATGTAACAATTATTCTTCTGTTATCATTTCTTCAAGCTGTTAGTGAGAGTGAGACTTCCTGTGCCTGTTTACAGCCTCGTTTGCCCATGGCGCCCCGGACACCCGGCAACTACAGAGCTGCCCCCATTTAGATCCAAAGTTCACAAAATTTTACTGGCCTGTAATTTCTTAGTAAAAATGTAGAACCTCCAAGCCGAGTGAAATCGGCCATGTTAACCCCTCCCTGCACCTCCTTCCAGTTTTTATCAGCCATAGCACAGTACATCTCATTAAAATCAACCCGGTCAAGACATCACGTCACAGAGTCGAGGATGCACTTGTCACTTATTTTTAATAATTCTTATAAAAGATACAATTCTTATAAAAGATATGCGTTTGGGAACATATTAAAGACAAATCAGCGGCCATGTGTTTTGTTTTTGTGGTTCGGATAAAATACACATTATTGCACCAAATAAGTGTACAAAATAACACAAAGTTGAACATTATCAGTCATCAACTGTGATGATGCATGGTTGGCTGGTTGGGGGCACAATTTTAAAATAGTTGGTGAGTTTACCTGATGCTGCTGATGTGCTTGGCCTTTTCTGCCTAGATCTGGAGAGTCTACGTGACCGACTACTGTTGGCGTCATTTTGTGAGGCAGACACATTCTCAAAGTCTGCACTACAGTATGATTCTTTCTGCTCTACACAACCCTTTAATAATGTGTTGTCTGGGACAGTGCTGTTCACAATGTCTTTGGAGAGTGTCCTCTTTCCCTGCTCTAAACCAAACAGATCGTCCAAAAGAATGCTGGCTGTGCTGCTAGCAGGATGGCTGACTTCTGCAGGAGATCTTTCCACCTCAGTAGACTCTTCCTTCTCTTCCCCGTCTCCTTCAAACAGCTCAGGGCTGTAGAAGATACTTTGTTCACCCTCTTCAGTGTCATCAAGGTCCATTCCACTGGTGTTCAGCTTCAACGTAGAGCTAGGGATCACAAAGAGCTGCTCAAGCTGAGGTTCCAATGAGCTGTCATTTAGGTCAGGAGCGCCATTTATTTGGTTCTTTGGTGTCACAGAAAGCGCAGGAATAAGTCCCTGCTGAAGTTGTTTGTTGTTCACTGAATTTGCACCCTGCTCGATTTGAAAAATAGAAGTCTTGAATTGGCTACTGACTGGAGAGGAGGTGAATAGATGGTCTGTAGGCCATACTGTTCTGTGGACATTACGTTTTCTGCTAGGCAATATGGTAGGTTCAGATGGATGCTGTATACACTTTTGGTCACCTGCTGAAACAGACAGACACAAAATCATCAGTGACAAATACAAAACTCTTGGGTATACCTCAAAGCAACACTACTTTGGTTAAAACACTACAGCCAGCATTGTCCCACAGATAAAAATTGTTTGATGGCTAGCTTTGATTAAGTGGTGGAGCACAGGTTCTCTATGATAATTGTGTGGGGTTTAGTTTTGAGTCTTCAATATGGTTTGTGTGTCTGAATGAGTGGAGTCCATGATTTATTCTCAAGAGTATGCAAATATTCACGCTCAATCTACCACAAATAAAGGTCAAAGAGATTTCATTAAAAGCAACAGTCAAGACATCTGCTTATCCCAATGATGTTCAGTCAGTCAGGGGCCACAGAGTCTGACAGGGGCAATGAGGAGTGAAGAGCATGTACAGTACACACGCATACATGTCCTTACACAGAAATGCACGATCACTTACCAGATGGTTTTACCTAAAAATACCCACAATGTTAAAGGAATAGGTGACCCAAACATAAATTAGGTCATTGTTTATTTACCCTTATGTCATTCTAAATAGTTTCTTATAGATACTTTTTTTTTTGGTGGAAAACTAAAGGAGAAATGCTGAAGAATGTTTGCATCCACTAGCTTTAAAATGTCTTGGGTCAGTTTTTTTTGGTCCCACTTTATATTAAGTGGCTTTAAGTACTATGTACTTACATTGAACAATAAGTACAATGTATTATTGTGTTCCTGTTGTATTGTAAAACACCTTTGCTGCTATTGAGGTGTGATCTGGGCAAGGTTAGGGACAGGTGTGGTGGTATGGATAGGTTTAAGGGTAGGTTAAGGTGTGAGGGGAGGGTCAACTGTGTAATTACAAATGTAATTATAGCTGTAATTACATGCAGGTATTTTCAAAATGTAAGTGCAATGTAAAAACATGTATGTGCACAATAAGTCCATTGTATCAAACTATTAATTTCAATGTAAGTACATAGTACTTAAAGCCACTTAATATAAAGTGGGACCGTTTTTTTTATTAAAATATGTTTGAAAGAAGTCTCTCACCCTCACTAAAGCTGATACAATTTTAAAATGATACCATTTTAAAATGTATGATGCATGTATAATGTACACTCAACTAAATGATTACAGTTGTTTCAATGCATTTAGGGGTGTGGTCCTGGTCAAGACAATCTCCTGAACTCCAAACTGAATGTCAGAATGGGACAGAAAGGTGATTTAAGCAATTTTGAGCGTGGCATGGTTGTTGGTGCCAGACGGGCCGGTCTAAGTATTTCACAATCTGCTCAGTTACTGGGATTTTCAGGCACAACCATTTCTAGGGTTTACAAAGAATGGTGTGAAAAGGGAAAAACATCCAGTATGCGGCAGTCCTGTGGGCGAAAATGCCTTGTTGATAATACAGGTCAGAGAAGAATGTGCCGACTGATTTAAGCTGATAGAAGAGCAACTTTGACTGAAATAACCACTCGTTACAACCGAGGTATGCAGCAAAGCATTTGTTAAGCCACAACACACACAACCTTGAGGCGGATGGGCTACAACAGCAGAAGACCCCAATGGGTACCACTCATCTCCACTACAAATAGGAAAAAAAGAAAAAAAAAAAATCCATCGATCCATCGTGATTCTCTCTCCAACGATTCTGGATCGATTCTGAGTTTAGTTTTTAACCAGATGTGCGATGACGCTGAGTTTGCTTTAGAAACACGTATTCTGCTTGCTTTCAATTCCTCACACGGCCTACACACACCACTGGAACCTTCCGTAAAATAATATTTCATAAAGTTCGGAAAGATTGAAGCGAATTACGAGGACATTCACAGGCTTCATTGAACGCGCTGTGAGAGATGCGCACTTTCTTTGATGTTACACTTGAAGTGTGCTGTCTTGCCCGTCGGTATATTTTCCTTATGAATGCTCTACGAAGTCATCATTTATGTGATTTGGAATGCAGTGGACTTATATATTTAAAATATGAACCTCACTATAACGGAAGACTGCTTTCAATTTCAAATCCTCACGCGCGCTTTGTTTATGTAGACTGCTCGCGCATGTAGCTGTGCGCCTCCGTGGTTTAATGTACAGTACTTGTGCAAAATTAACGTAAACACAGCCAGTTATGTCTTAGGGGATTAAACAGACAGGACAAACCACATTACTTCTTATATTTCAAAAGAGATTCATGCATGAATGCAGCTTAATAGATTTCCTGTAGCAGTCTATGTTGTCATAGTAAAGAAAAACTACAGTAGGCTAAAGATGAAGAAAATTCACTCACAGTTCTTGAATGGAAAACGTTCAGATAGTCTATAGGCTACTGAAAGCACTTTTTGTTTGTTGTTTGTTATACGTATCTATGCTCCTCAAGGGGTGTTTTAACCCAACCCTCAAGTTTCAACCCAAGAAATATACCTGACTCAGAAGACCTGCTCTCAGAGTTGGCTGCCTGCATCTCGGTGTGTAGGTTTAGTGGTGCAGGCTGAGGGTCAAATTGCTTGTTGGGGGTGATTATCTCAGGAGGGGGAGAGGTAACATTGGAAGGGCTGGGGTATTGAGTGACAGCCTGAGATTGTGTTTCTTCGAAGGTCTCTACTGCCCCCCGCTGGCCTTGAGAAAAGGACTCCAGGGACAGCATGGCGCCAGTGAAGGTGTCATGGTGCCTCACTAGCTGACGCACCCATTTTGACAGGCCTGAGAGAAGAGGACAGCAGTGTTTAACAAACATTTAACCACTCTACATGACCACTATTTTCATAACACACTACCACAGTGCTGTCAATCTGTGTAGATTTTCAAGTAAAGAATGTTTTCAACCCATCACTGTTACATGTAAAAGAGCAAGACCTTATGTACACATTATCTGGCCGCAGCCCACAGTCTAACATTTCAAAACCCCTGCGCTAGGTCATTATCTCCATCTAGTGATACAGAAATGTAACTGCAGTTGGGTGATATAATGGCAAAATCATTTATCAATTAGAGATTCTACACCACCTGTGATGTATTTGTTTGGGTTCGTCTTAAACCGGTCGTCCACCAGTATAAGTGCCCCCCAGTCATTTCGATGTCGAATACACCTAGGACATCAGCAAACATATTGTTACACCAAATAGATTTTAAAAGATTTGTATCATGTCAGACTAACTGCATAAACATCAACCCTGAAATGGCTTTTACCTTCCGAGTGCCTGGTTTAGTGCCCGATATGCTTGAATCTCGTACCAGCGCCCACCAGGCAGAAGCCCTCGGGACTTGGCATGCTTGTCATTATATTTCATCTTTAGTTCAACCTGCAATGCAAAAGAAACAATGACTCAAACTAAAGTAGTCTCTAAAAACACTAAACATAGAAATTTCAGGTGATAGTCGGGATACAAGATAAAAGTGCATTTTAGAACCAGGGCTTCCACACATTATGGAAAATGAATTTTTATGATGTTTGTATTAATACTTATTTTCCTGCAGAGGTGTAATTAATTGATCACCAAATCAGCAAATTAGAATGATTTCTGAAGGATCATGTGACACTGAAGACTGGAGTAATGATGCTGAAAATTCAACTTTGCTAACACAGGAATAGTGCATTTTAAAATATATGGAAACAGAAAAGAATCATTTTAAATTGCAATAATGTTTCTTTCACTGCATTTTTATTAAATGCAGCCTTGGTAAGCATAAAACACATAACATCTTGCTGACCCCAAATCTTTGAACCATAGTCTATACATAGAAATGTACATGACTTTTCTATGATTTTCCCTCCATTTCAGTCATTTAGAGGCCTGGAAAATATAATTTTAAAGTTCCAGGTTTATAACCGCAGTTTTCCAGGGCCGTGAAACGCCTGTTGAACAGATTCCATGTCTTGAATAACTTTTATTCCGGCAAGTTTCAATCCCTTAAAAGCCTATGGAGCTCTCAGATTTTTGAAATCAAAAATATCTTAATTTGCGTTCTGAAGATGAACGAAAGTCTTATGGGGTTGGAACAACATGAGGGTGAGTAATTACAGACAAAATTTTCATTTTTGGGTGAACTATCCCTTGAAATTCACCTTTTGTTTCACAGAAGAAAGGAAGTCATACAGGTTTAAAATGACAGTAAATTATAGCAGAATGTTTGTCACGTGCAAACAATGATTCTATTCGAAACTTGGTAGACAATATACATTTTCTTCACTCACTTCTCATATATCAGAAGGCCCGACAGGCCACACCTGGGAATCAGGCAGCTGTGTCACCATCGTACCACCCATACAGAACTAATTAGATTAACACTGGCAGGAGGTAGGACTGGTGAGGGGTGATCTGCAGAGGGCAAGGCTCCCCTGAAGATGACACCCTGGGCCTGTTAGTGCTTTTATACTTGCCTGCCCACACCCGCTGATCCATTGCAAAGAGGCGGAAGAAAGAGGCCACCAGACAATAGGCATCTGCTTTGCCATAAAAATGCCAGGGAGGCATCCATCAATTTTCACCCACTGCCCTCACTGTTTTAATGTTAACCTTTTTGAATTGACAAGTGAAAAGTTCAAATCCCGTCTGATGGGACAGGACGACAAAAGCCTTTAACTATTTATGACAGCTACTGTGTTTCAGATGCCAAAACCTGAACAAGGGCATGACCATCGCAGGTAAGACCTGTCTCTTGTATTCATCAGCTCTGCGTCATTCGCGATGTTGTCACACACTTTAATCAAGAATATTTAGGAACACAAGGACACGTTGATATACACATGGGGCTGAATAGAAGAGCAAACACTTAAGCATGAGTGAATCTGCCATTTGATGCACATCTCAATCTCTAACCCACTGGAAGGGTTAAAAGCATCTGGATAGAGATCCTGTTGTCAACTAAAGGCCGTTACCCCAAGGCTGACTGTCATCTAAATCCAATCAGAGTCTATTTCACTATCAAGGCCTTCACCTCCTAGAACCACGTCAACACTCAATCCGACATGACAGCTTGCATATGTGAAAAAGCCAATTCTCGCTGCTAGCCAAATCTCCTCAATGTGCAAGAAACCACAAGCTAGAAGCGATTACGTAAAATGTCAAGAGATAGCCCACTCTCTCATCAGCTTCAACCTCTTTACCTGTTCATCCTTAAAAACAGACATATGACCAAAAGGCATGCATTGCAGCAGAGCAGAACACTGCCGCCGTCGTGCCCGTCACTGAGATCTCGTAGCCCACTGTCTGTCTGTGTTAGGTCACACTAAGAGTTCTCGGCTCCTCAATTAAAAGGAAAATCAAAGAGAAACAATATACAACATTCCACACAAACCTTTACATTTTAACACACTTTCCATGTTCAAGCTGTTCATTAGGCATCAAGAGACAGCATCAGCTGGAATAGCCCTTTTACTGCCTTTTAAATCGGAGATTATTTTTCTTAGTGAAACAAAACATGTTCCCTCCAGTTTTATGTTCACCAGAGGCTATTTTTATGTGTGCACCATCGGCTTACAATGCCTTAGACTGTTTAAAGTTCACCTTTGATCTTGTTCCCAATAGCGGACTAATAAAAGCAATACTCTCATTTTAGAGGCACTTTAATAGCTTTTCTGTCTATCTGGGAAGACTGTGCAGGCATCTACTCAACAGGACCTCTACTCTGACTGGAGAGTAGAAAAGTGAGTCACAATTAATTTATGCGTGTACAGTCCTAAAAGTACGATTTTTTTTTTTTTTTTAAATCTAGATTTCTATATTCTCTGAAGAAAATTGCACTAGAGTTTTAAAAACTCACCATCATGAATGAAGCAGTTTTTGTGCGTTGTCACTAAGATGTATGTGTGGCTGTTTAATGGCCCTGTGAGTGTCAATGAAAGCATTAATTTGCTTTAGACAGAGTAACCATTGCTCTGACAGTATATAGTATCAGTGTCCTCTCTTTACATTGCATTAATAGGGTCATATCCTAGGTATCCCCAGGGCTCATCTCCACCCCCCATCCATCAAAGAAGATGCATCATCTTGTAGCAATCAAACACAAGACTGTCTGATGTTAATTTATGAACAACAAACAGAATAAGATGGACGTATTAAAATTGCTTGAATAAACTAGTTTCCACTTCTTAGTAAATGGATTTCCATGATGTTTCCAGTCAATTGTGATTACAGAACAAAGATTTTGAAAAGAAAAGAAAAAAGATTCAGACTAATTTGCTATTACACAATTCATAATTTTGTAGACTGATTTGACCAATACCAAAAAAAAAAAAAAAAAAAAAAAAACGGAAAAGAAATGTCTCAAAAGAACAGCTTTCCTATCACAGGAATATCATACATATCATGCTAAATCCACTTTTTTAGCCCTTAAATGCATTTTGTTGTATATTTGTAGTGTTTATAAGTACAGAAAAGTTTAAATTATTCTCTTCAGGTGCTTCGTTTATATCTTTACACTCTGTTTTGGTCATATTTTGCAACCTGTTCCGAATTTTCTGTTCTCTGTGACGTATTTTGAACAATTACATTACAGTATTTGCAGCGGAAATGCCAAATAAGGACATTGACTACCAGGCCAACACTTCGAGCAACCCGCCATTTTTATTTCTCGCTCCAATTTTGTAGACCAAGCTCAAGGATGCAGAAGTTACGAGAAGATAAGTCAAAATGTTCGGTTGTTGGATGTAGTGACCCACACGCATCATTACACCGTCGGCCAGCATGAGAACCTCTTTGAAGTGCCTGGTTGAGTTTTATTTGTGAAGGAAATGTACCCACATCTGTGAGTAAATTATTTTTTGTGTGTGTGTGTGCACAAAGCACTTCAAAGATTCCAACTGTATCAACCTCCGCCAGTATAAAGGAGGGTTTGCCGATGGACTTCGTCTGAATGAGGGGTCAATTCCTTCTATCTTTGGAGACGACGAACAGATAATTTCGATAAGCTGTAAACATCGTTAATAAAAATAAAATAGTTTCCTTTTCTTAAAACACATGGTGGTCATGGTTTAGCAGTACCTTTGTCTGTCTTTGTTTTTAAGTAACGTTAAGCCTAGTTCACACTACGTGATTTTAAGCCCGATTTAAGCCCGATTTGCAAATCGTTGAGTCGCCGACAAGTCAGGGTGTTATCGCGTGCAAATCGCGGGCGATTAGCGGACGATTAACGCTCGCCAATCAGTTAGTGTGAAAGAGCCAACAACGCATCAAAGACAGCTCGCAGACAGCTCGCAGACAGGTCACCGAGCTCAGAAAAATATCTAGCATGCTAGATATCTCGCGCAGTCGCGCGACTCAATCTCAGTGATGTCATGAGTACAGCCAATCATAGCAACGCATGGGTTGAGGACACCAGGTAAATCTTACTTTTTCTTTTTTGCATTTTTTTTTCTCAGAGCAGATCGTCAAGCAAACAGTGTGCAGCACTAGTTTCTGTCTGACGTCCATATTCGCGTGTTGTGTTCTTCTCTGCAGTTTCGCGTCATTTCTGGTTCGTTTTATTGCGTGGTTTTTCGTTACAAAACATGGTTTCTAGACCAGATAGAATCGTGTTGTTGTCAACTCGTTATTTGTTTGATTATTTTCAGGATTTAGACCGTATTATAGTACTGAAACAGCTCTCATTGAGTCACAAATGATATGCTCTTATCATCCGATCGTGGTTGTATCTCTGTCTAGTGCGTTGTTAACTCGTGTAGTGAGTTACCTCCTGTTGTGGATCAATCACGTTGTGTTGTGTGGTGTGAACAGCTAAACAACTTGAACACTCATGATTTCACTGAGAGCAAGTCATGTAGTGTAAACTGCACAGTTCAGCCCGACATTTTAAAATCATGTAGTGTGAACTAGGCTTTACACGTCTGCAGTTTTATTGTGCTTGAGTTTCATCATGACAATGGTCATTTAGCAAAAGAATAAAAATGTCCTGTGACGCTATATAAAGATATATATCTAATCAAACTACAAAAATGGCCGAACGGGGTGGAGTTCAACCTAGTGTCAACTCAGCAACCTGGAGAGAGAATAAAACTTAAGTGTATATTAACAATAGACCTTTCAATTACATAAAATCATCCCCATGGGAACCATGAAAAAGTAGCAAAACTTAAAAAGATGTGCTGAAAAAGGACATTTTGTAAATTTAATAGTTCAAATATAAATGTAAATATAATAGTCCAAAAATAGTTCTCATTTACTAAATAGCATTAGCTCCAGAAACAACTTTGAATCTTTTTAAGGTAAGAAAGAGTACACTAAAACTCCTTCACACTTCATCTTCTTAAGCTGCACTAGGAAAATGAGACAAAGCATTACTCCTGTCAAAGGGGGAGGTATAGAGAAGAAATCGAGGGCAGCAAACAAACACGTTTGAGTGCTGTCAACCACTTCATGTGGCATTTAAAACCAGAAGAAGCATTACGGTTGGCCAGGTGCACTAGAAACCCCCGCTTCTTTGCTCCTCAACCCCTCTGGCACATCGACTCAGCGCTTGTCCACAACAAGCCACATGATAAAACCTCCCTCAGAACCCTCCAAAACTCATCCAAAATGGCAAACTCGAATCGACCTCTACTGGAGCAAAAGTGAAAAAAAAAAAAAAAAAAAAAAAAAAAAAATCAAAGGCCTTCCCAGAGGTAAGGGTACAACCACGCCAACAGCTTCCGCTAAGGTGAAGGGCTCGGAAGTGTCAATCATCTGTACATATCCCCACGGTGACAGACCCAGTTAGGAAAGCTTCAACATACTCTGACAGCAAGGTAGACAGAGGGGGAAGCTTAAAGGTCAGGTCTATCTGCTAAGGACAGGCAAACCATAGCACAATCACTACTGAATTCATTTACGGATCACAGCAAGGGGGGACTGTTGTTCTGCCTACGAAATGTAACTTTATAAAGATATGAACATGAGAGGAGAAATGATACTTCAGGGTTGAGCAGAGGACAAATAAAAGTGAAAAAGTTTTTAATCAGACTTAAAAAGACTACAATAGCCTAGCAAATATACTCTCTAAAGGGGGAAATTTACCATCAGTTCACAGCTGATTAAGCCACTTGGAATGTGTCAAATATTGACCAACAAAAATTGTATCCAGTTGTCTAGAACTACTACTAAACCAATAATAATTGAGGCCAGGTGTTACAGCGATTTTAACACAAATATTTGATGGAATAATTTTATGTAATGTTTTTACAGAATTCTGTTAAAGAACAAGCTCGGTATTTTACATTTAAAGCCCTGTTTTATCGTTTCTGATTAAATAGAACGGTTAATATTAAAATTTGGATACATGCGCTGGCCCGAGAATTTTCGGTTTCTGTGGTAGCACTATTGTAAACCGTTGTTTACCGTTCGTTGTAAAACTGTTGACCTTCTTTTCCAACGCCTCATACCCGTACATCCTTCCGTTGACAGCTTGAATAATAGACACTCCAGCCCAACGATAATGCACAATGGCGATGCACATTGGGTGACCGAAAACACAGAAACCGAAAATTCTTGGGCCAGCAACATGTGTGCAAATTTCAATCTTAACCGTTCTATTTCATCAGAAACGATCTTAAAACAGGGCTTTAAGTGTAAAATACCGAACTTGTCCTTTAATTATATCTGCCATTTTCAGAAAGATCATCTATGAGATTCCATTCATCATCAGATCATAGCGTTATCCAGATGATACTAAGATGACCTGGAAAAATTGAGAAAACTACAAAGACATGTCAAATACAAAAGATATGCTTTTTTTTCTCAGACCGTTACCTGCAAATCCTTGATATTAGGGAATGGGATACCAATAGTGACCACTGCTCTGGCATTGTCATCGGTGAAGTCTAAGCCCTCGCTCACCTTCCCTCTGCAAACAGCTACCAGCAGCGCTCCATCTGGGAAAAGAAATCACAATCAACACACAGACAACACATTTAAACTAGGCATTTGGAGTAAATCAACACTAACCTCTGTTTTCACAGTTGGATGCTGTTCCTCTGATGGCCTCATAGTAGGTCTGCAGAAGCGCATCAAAATCACCCTTGCCACCACCACGTGGCTCAGTGATCACAGTCTTTCGCTCCTCAAGCTTTTCCCACAGACCTGTGTTCATCCAGCGGTCCCTCAGTTTATCCAACATCTTAATACAAAAAATGACCAAGAAAAAAAATATTATTTATACAGATTTTTTTCTTTTATTTTTGTATGTTGTTTCTCTGTATTTCTGTCTGGGGACTACAGATGTGAATTAGCCCTGTGGCTATATTCCGACATGTTTACGTATGTTCTTCAATATTGTTCATTAATGTGCAATGTCCCTATCAAATAAATAAATAACTATTTGCAGTGCATAACCCAAAACAAGACAATCCAATTTAGTATGTAATATAACAATATAACATTCAGTAGTTGCATTAGGATATAATATTCAGTCCATAATAATATGCAAGTTCACTGGGGTATGATCATTTTTTTATTTATTTCTATTCTGGTGCAACACATTTGTAATTAGTGTAGAGAAATTATAGGAACGAGTTAGGTAAAAAGGGATGCCTTTAATAACAAACATAATGAAAACCATATTCTTGAACACAAAAGTTTGATTCAAATCTGCAGCCTTCATGTGGCCCCCATTAAAATAAAAAAGACCCAGTTGAAGAGGAATGTCTGAACCCTGGGTTGCCCAGTAATTCAGTTTAATAAATGCAGACCTCCTGTTTGCATTGTAAACAATTAGCTGGTTAGAACCTTCTTTTTATATTTTTTAACAAATTATGTACATTGCACACTATAATCCTTGCTGTGAGAACGAAAGCTCACAGCAAGACACAGGACGTTTCTCTTCAGTCTTCTCTCTAGTTCCTGTTACTGAAAAACCATAAATTGCAAGTATAAACTCTTCAGAATAAAAATCACTGTTACATTGCTATTGTTAGTGCAAAAAAGTCAGTAATTGCCAAGGGAGGAACACTGATCTAAAAGCTCTCTCTCACAGGGAGCAATACTTGTCTCGGCAGTACGCATTTTCCTCTTGAATAGGCATGCCTTTACAATCCAAGCGAAACTTCACTGGCTTGGAAATGTGTTAGAAGGGTCAAGCAAAAGTTCTTCTTGTGATCAGCAAAAAAAAAAAAAAAAAAACCTTGCAGGGATTACTGCAGGAATTTGTGTCTTTATTCATATAAACAAATACAAAATTTGAGAATCACCCCAGGGCTCAGTATTAGGATCATTACACTTTTGTTGCTTAAAGAACAGAAAAACTATGCATGCCCACACCACTTTACCAAAGACGACACTAAATTCACAACTTCTAAATATTAAATCCCATCTGAGGTGGCTGAGACTTCTGCACTGTGAAAACTATTTTACACATGGATGTGTGACTGTGAAGTGAAGCAAGCACCAATTTCATCAGGTCTGTGCTTATAGGAACAAACAAGCAACTTGTCTTCAATAAAACATGACACTTGTGCTGAAGCTGCAACGAACACATAAATGTCACCATTTCAAAGACTAACAATTGCTGCAAATCCGATATGAACAAAAGGTGAATTATTAAAGCATTCTCTCAGTAGACTGCACAAGGAACAAAACAGCCATTATACACACTGTACTTGGAGGAAATTCAGATTTCTGTAGAAGAGAGGACGAGAGAAAAAAGAAGCTGAAACAAACAAAAAAAAAAACATGACTCATTAAGACGAATACAACTGATGGGTTTGGATGCTGTACTCGGCATCTTAAATTCACCTTAAGGGTCAATGTTATTAATTTGTGCTTGGCCTGAAGTGTAACCTGATGATGACCTGAGCATAACAGGATAATAAAATGCTGCCCCTTAAAAGACAGGGACATAGGCACAAAGACTCCTTGTATAAGCTTGTTGTTTATATTCCCAGAGCTGTAATTTGTAAAGCCTTATAAAAGCAGGCGAAATACAATACAGTGCCACTCCAGGAGTCCCTTGGCTCAAAGGGTAATGGTCCTAATGCTTTTATCTCACAGACACTGTGAGTAAACATCACTCCATGTCTGCTTCCATTCATTCATTTCATTACAGGCACATTTTCCACATCCCTCATTTTGACAGACTAGAGCCATAGTTTGAAAACCCAAAAGAGAAGCCAGTTAGTTAGCAATGAGGAAGAAACTCAAGATTCTACAGACTCAAAACTAAATTTTTTTTCTTCAAAATCAGCCCCTCTCTCCATCCATCCATCCATCCATCCATCCATCCATCAATTTGAACTGAACAAATAATAATAATAATAATAATAATAATAATGTTAAAATGCTCATGGAAAATAAGCAAAACAACTGATAACACCACATAATATGTGAAGAATTTAACCTGCCATTAAAAACATCAGCAGTGATAGAATAAACTGACAGCATCCAATGTTGCCAGTTAAAATTGAGAAGTGTGCACTTCTGTTTTAAGATGTTTGGACAGGAATGGGAGTTTGTGGGGGAGGTGGTGATGGGATGAGCACATGGCCTTCATGCCTAATTCATAGGCATTATCTGACAAGAGCAGCGCTGTTTCCACAGGGCCTAGACCAGAACACAGCAGAATGAAAATGTCAATCTGCACACTTGGCTGAGGCTCAGGTGCACAAACATTGCAGAAGTGACCCTACACCATCCCTCTCTGAGGTCAGTGACAGTGCCATCAAACAGATGGCGTGCTCAAAGACGACATGAACACACTAGTACCAAACAAGCTCCGACAAATGATAAGAGGCATTTAACCTCACATCCTCATTCTACTATGCACATCTGGAGAATAACAATCACTGCATAACTTTTGGGGAAAAAAAAGGTTTAAAGAACTAAAAAAAAGTATTTGCAAAAATACAGTAAAGTGTGAGAATGTCTCACAACACAGCACTAGGCTACATTTAACCATCAGTATAAGTATAAGGTGTGTGCAGCCCCACTTCTGACACCTCGTCTCTTACACTGCTCCCGAGGGCTGGGAGCTCAAGACAGCAGTGACCCAGTCTCATGCCTTATTTAAGGTCCCCTTACAGTAGACCAGAATCTTACATCTTCAGAACTCTGTAGCAGACTAACATTATCAGCAATACAACAACGGACACGTTGTTCCCACAGTCAGTTGTATTTGAGAGGTGACAAATGAACCTGGATATAAAACAGGAGGCAGAAGCCATTTAAATGTCTGTATAATTAGGTAACTTCACAATTCACTTCTTTAAAAAGGGAGTGATTCCTGTTACCATAGCACATATCAAAACTTTGTATTATATTGTGAAATATATTATAAAATGTTCTGCATTTGGACAACTCCCATTGCTTTAATCCTCTCAGATATGTGGGACTATTTTTTCAAAAATGTTGGTAATTTAATTCATTAATAAATATAAAATTACGTTTATGAATCAGCAATTTTGAGCTGAACAAATATCTTTTAGAAGGACAATCTTGGAAAAGCTATATTCACAACTGTTGGTGTACATGTAAATGTGTCTGCCATTGTCTTTAACACTAAAGAGTGAGTTCTCAGATGTGCGTTTACAAGAACGGGTAAAAGCGTTCAGAGAAGCTTTTGATAAAACAGGAGTGTAGACTATCTAACGAACACTCGAGGCAAAACAAAAGATGAATAATTCATTGTGGTTAGTCGAATAAATATATGCATCACTCAGCTTGTGTCACCATGCTAGATTAAGTAGACCGGATGCAGTTCTCCCAGGGGACATGGAGGCTAGGTGGCACTGCGAGGCACAACTGTGTGCATTCTCTCTCACGCTTTTATTTCCTCTGCCACCTACACTACTCTTATCAACTTTTCTCCAACCTTGGTGCCATTCTGTCTTATGACAACACATTGCTGTTTTTTTCTTTGCAAAAGGCCTCTAAATAATGGACAAACTGAGTTGTAAGGTGGCATAAATGAAACATAGTGCCCTGGTGGCGGCAGCAGATGATGTGTAGCTGCTGTAAATAATTCAGCTGCAAATATCACAGTGATGATCACGCCAAGGACAGAGTGTAGTGGCGCCCCTGCCACCTGCCTGCAAGCACCCGCACTCCTCAGCACTGACGTGGAGCAGACCATTAGTGTGAGGCCAACAGTGAGAATTTATACCACAGATAAAAAAAATAAGATCTGTTCAAGTGCGGTTCTGCTGTTATCTAGTCAAGAGCTATATATATATATTTATTACAATTATACTATATGCCTGTGTGTGTAAAATCATATACAGTGGGGCCAAAAAGTATTTAGTCAGCCACTGATTGTGCAAGTTCTCCTACTTATGAGAGAGGTTTATAATTTTCATCGTAGGTACACTTTAACTATGAGAGACAAAATGAGAAACAAACAAAAAAAAATAAAAAATCCAGGAAATCACATTGTAGGATTTTTAAAGAATTTATTTGTAAAATATTGTGGAAAATAAGTATTTGGTCAATAACAAAATTTCAGCTCAATACTTTGTAACATAACCTTTGTTGGCAATGACAGAGGTCAAATGTTTCCTGCAAGTCTTCACCAGGTTTGCACACACTGTATCTGGTATTTTTGCCCATTCCTCCATGGAGATCTCCTCTAGAGCAGTGATGTTTCGGGGCTGTCGCTGGGCAACACAGACTCTGGACACAGGCTAGGCCACTCCAGGATCTTGAAATGCTTTTTACGGAGCCACTCTTTCGTTGCCCGGGCGGTGTGTTTGGCATCATTGTCATGCTGGAAGATCCAGCCATGTTTCATCTTCAGGGCTCTCACTGATGGAAGGAGGTTTTGGTTTAAAATCTCATGAATGATAATTGGCTCCGTTCATTCTTCCCTTAACATGGATCAGTTTTCCTGTCCCCTTTGCAGAAAAACAGCCCCAAAGCATGACGTTTCCTCGCCCATGCTTCACAG